TGTGCTTCTGGCAGCCCATGCTACTTTCAGTCCTCTACACAAGCACCATAATACAACTGATCCCATCACAAACGGTCAAGTAGTAAATGAGAACAGTGTTTCATAAAAACTCAAGTTGAAGACTCCCTTACCAAAGGGAACAGACTCGGGAGTTTGCAAAGGTGGAGAACACAAGGGAGGGAAGATAAGACAGTACGGTAGTCTGTCTCCTGGTGCTAATTTGGGTGATGGGGTAAAGGTAACAGTCCACATGGGGAGAGAAATCAGGGAAAAGATGAGCGGTGATTTACTGAGTGGTTGCTGAAGGGTTCAAACCACTGGATACAAGGTTGATTGTCTGAAATATGAACATCACCTAAGTTACAATTTAAGAAATACAGGTTAAACAGAACAACAACAACAGCAACCAATAAACCCACGGCCATCAAGTTCATTCTGACTCATCGTGACACTGCAGGCCAGGGCAGAACTGCCCACCAGGGTGACAAGGCTGGAAACTTTAGGGAAACCGATGAGCACATCTTTCACCCAACGAAGAGCTGGTGTGTTTGAGCCACCCAACTTCCTGGTGGTTAGCAGCTAATGTGCTTAAAATCTGTGCCACCCGAACACCCTACTCCAGGTCTAGGATGACTCCCTAGCATGAAGCAATCTACCATCTGCAGCCCTGTCCCTGGCTCTGACTGATCTCAACAGATGGCACCTGGCATAGGCCTCATTATGAGAATGGAGTCATGTGAACGGTATACTGAGTTCCTGTCTTTCTAGACCTGAGCTCTGGAGTTGGGAACTGCAAGAAACCAGGATTAGAAGGGTCTTTGGAAAGCACATGCACATCAGTAGAAGAATGACTGCGGATGACTGTGAGGAGGGCAGGAAGGATGGGCAAGACCTGCCAGGGCTCCGCAAGCTGCCTCCATGGAGCTGGTCTTAGAGAAGAGGGCCTCGGGGCATCAGAGAGAGCATGATAGCTTGTGATACTTTAATCTGAAATTCATCCAGTAAAAGCTCTTTCCGTTTGTGCTCCATGTTCCCTGCCTTTAAATGGAAACACGGCGGGTGCTACTGCTCCATAGGGTTCTCTGTGACTGTGATCATCAGGCCTTTCTTCTGAGGTGCCTCTGGGTTATTTGAACTGCTTACCATTGAAGTAGGGGCTGAGCTGTACACCCCTTGCACTCCCTAGGTCCTCAGAGGGAATTTACACTAGAATTAAATTCATAGCATATAAATGATTTTATTTCTTCATTTGCCAAACTGTAGGAAACTAGGATAGAGAAAGCTCACTTCCTGAGTGACCACAAAACCCATATTCTGACCATGTTCCATAGACCTTAGGCTGGGCTAGAGGCAGGGATCATCTGTGCTCTGAGAGGAGTTCTAAAACACATCCCGTGATATCTCTGGTCACTGCAGTACCCTCCTGCCCAGCACCACAAAGGATCGCAAGGGGATCTTTGACTGATGGCCACCCTGGCTATTCTGATTCCACATCACTGTGCTCATTGCGGTGAAATCTGCGTTACCCACGATGAAGAAGCAGAAGCAGCAGGAGGTATTTGCAGAGCTCTGCTCTCCCCCATTTACATGACATTGCTGGATCCCAGAGTGACAGAAATGACCCCAATATGTCTTTTTTTTTAAGTGGTTTCATTTGTGGTTGTTGGGAACACACACAGGAAAGCATGCACGAACCCAGCCATGTCTCCATACACAATTCAATGACGCAGAAAATGACTTTGAGTCTTTAGTGACACAGGTTCATTTCCAGAAATAGAAAAAGAAACAAAAGGACATATTGTATGGGGCAAATTTGCAAAACATAGAAATAAATAGAGTGCTCTGCCATCTAGTGGAATAAGACCCATAACAACAGTATGGGACAGGGTACATTTGCCGAAAGATCTCTTTAAAATGTGAAAGAGAAAATGTTTCATTCTGAAGACTAAGATGCACTTGGTGGGAGCCATGGTATTTTCAATCACCTCATATGCCTGTCAAAACTGGAGAAGGAATTGAAAAGAGCAGAAATAATGGATACATGTGAATTATGGTGTTGGTGAAGAATAGCAAATCAACAAAGGACAGCTATAGAAAAGAGAAAATTATTTCGAGGAGATACAGGCAGAATGGTCTTTAGAAGGGAGGATGGAAAGACTTTATCTCATGTACTTTGGACTTGATAACAAGAAATACCAGTCACAAAGCTGGTGCATAAGCAAATGTGGTGAGGAAAGCTGATGGTGCCCGACTATCAAAAGATATAATGTCTGGGGTCTTAAAGGCATGAAGGTAAACAAGCGGCCATCTAGCTCAGAAGAACCAAAGCTCACATAGAAGAAGCACAACAGCCTGTGTGATCACGAGGGGTCCAAGGGATGAGGTATCAGGGATCAAAGAACAAAAAATCATATCATTGTGAATGAGGGGGAGTGTAGAGTGGGGACGTAAAGCGCACCTGTAGGCAACTGGACATCCCCTTATGGAAGGGTCATGGGGAGGAGACAAGCCAGTCAGGGTGCAGTGTAGCAACGAGGAAACATACAACATTCTTCTAATTAGTAAATGCTTCCTCCCCACCCACTATCATGATCCCATTTTTTACCTTACAAATCTGGCTAGACCACAGGATGTACACTGGTACAGATAGGAACTGGAAACACAGGTAATCCAAGAAGGATGAATCCCTCAAGGCCAGAGGTGAAAGTGGTGATACCAGAAGGGTGGAGGGAGTGTGGGGTCTAGAGGGATAACCAATTACAGGGATCTACATATGACCTCCTCCCTGGGGGACAGACAACAGAAAAGTGGGTGAAGGGAGATGTCAGACAGTGTATGATATGACAAAATAATAATTTATAAATTATCAAGTGTTCATGGGGGAAGGGGGAGTGGGCAAGGGCGTGCCAGGGCTTACATGGAGAGCAAATGTTTTGAGAATGGTGAGGGTAACACATGCTCAAATGTGCTTTATTCAATTGATGAATGTATGGATGGTGATAAGAGTTGTCTGAGCCCCCAATAAAATGATTTTTTTAAAAAGAAGACGAAATACCAGTCTTTAGGGAAGGAGCAAATGCTCCATAAAGCAAAAGGTCTGCAACATCGAGGGGAAGCAGAATGAGATGAACGCAGTGGCTGCTACAGTGGTGAGGATGGTGCAGGAGAGAGCAGTGGTCTGTTCCCTTGCACCAAGGGTCACTATGAATAGGAAGCAACCACACAGAAACTAAACACAGACAAGTGATATTTGGTTACTTTTCCTCAAAGCATGTTTTATTCCTTAAACCTTTTGAGGTGTTCCTACCTAGGTGTAGGAAGATGACATAGCACTTTGGGGCAAAGATGCAGCCTAGAAGCCCCACACTGGAGGCTAAGATGGAGAAGACCTCCACAGCCACCATGACCTTCCCCTGGGTGCTGTGGTAGACAGGGAGGAAGGTCACCCAGACACTGCAGAACCCCAGCATGCTGAAGGTCAGGAACTTGGCCTCATTGAAGGTGTCAGGCAGGTTTCTGGCCTGGTAAGCCAAGAAAAATGTCCCCAGGGCCAAGAAGCCCAGGAATCCCAGCACACAGTAGAAAGCAGTGGTTGAACCCTTATTGCACACAATGATGATGCTTCTGGGCTCTGAGTGTGTGTCTATGTCCACAAAAGGCGGAGAGGTTCCCAGCCATGCCCCACAGATAATCAGTTGGATGAAGGAGCAGATAGGAACCACAGCATTAGGAGCCCCAGACAGCAGCAACCGCCTCAGGGTTCTTCCAGGTGTCAGGGCCTTGAATGCCAGGATCACAGTGATGGTTTTGGCCAAAACAGCGGAAATGGCCACAGTGAACACAACCCCAAAGGTGATTTGCCGGAGGAGGCAGGTGGCTGTGTTGGGACGGCCAATGAAGAGTAAGGAGCAGAGGAAGCAGTGGAGGAGGGAGAGGAGCAGGACATAGCTGAGGGCCCGGTTGTTGGCCTTGACTATGGGGGAGTCTCGATGCTTCACAAAGACCCACAAGACCCCTGCAGTGATGACAGAGAAGCCCAGAGCTGTACAGGCCAGAGCCATCCCCAAGGGATCTTCATAAGCCAGGAAGGTCACCATTTTGGGCAGACAGCGGTTCCTCTCCATGTTGGGATACTGACTTTGAGGGCACTCCATACATGTATCACTGTCTGGTGAGAAAAGTGAAATGGAGTTTAAAGAAACAAAGGAAAAACTTATTTCAAAGCATAGACGGTCCTGGGTAGAAGGGATTGTGTTTTGAAATTTTCATCTTCACCTTATCTGGAAACTCCCTATTTCTTTGTGTAAACCCAAATCAGCTCTCTATGAAGAATTATGTGACATTTTAAAACAGTCCTTGTTAGCGGCCTTGTGTGGACTCCACCCATGGCCTTGTGTTAGCGGCCTTGTGTGGACTCCACTCATGGCCTTGTGTGGACTCCACCCATGGCCTTGTGTTAGCGGCCTTGTGTGGACTCCACCCATGGCCTTGTGTTAGTGGCCTTCTGTGGACTCCACCCAGGAGGGCCGAACAAAACTGTGCTCCAGGTGGTTTTCTGTGGGGAGCAGAAGGATTTCTCTCAAGCTGTCTCCCCCAAAATATGCACCAGCCTTAGCTGCTTGAGAATGAGTGTACACAGGGCGGTCAGCGAAAGTAGGTCAGAGGTTAGTCTCCTTAACATCAGCCATCTAGAGCACCAAGACTGTATAGTCTGACTCACCCTAAGTAGGGCCCATCCCTTCTGCTATTGTTCCCTTGAAGCAGTGCCCAAAGGCAAGCCCAGGACCACTCTAAGATGACTAAGTTCATCGAGTCCAGGGTCCACCCATCTTGCCACACATGTTACCCTATTCCCTCCCTTTTTTATTGTGTGTTCACCCCTAGGTCATCCCCCTCCTATTACTTGTATTGCCTGTGCAACCCCTCCCTATGATGTAGGTTGTTGTCTGCTATCAGGGGGCTTGCATGCCTCCCAGGGTAGTAAATGTCTGTTTTATTGTATGAGACACCAGAGTGATCAAACCCGCCCAAGGATGAATTATACAGCCCCTTTCTGTGATGTATGATTCTGTCATCAGATCACCCTAAAGTGATAAAATGGCATGGTTAGCAAGAAAGAGGGAGCGAGCTCCTGAGCCAGAGAGGCGTTTCCCAGCTCTGGGGCTGGAGGCTCTCCCCGATTCCCGGGGCCCTCTGTGGCTCTCGGGCCAGGAGAGGCTCCCCGGGTTCTCAGTCCCTGAGGCTGCTCCTGCTCTCATAGCAGGGTTCCCCCCACGAGGGCCACCAAGCAGGGTGGAGGTGAGCAATGCTACCATATAATGTGTCTAACTGTATTATTGTAATATCTCTCATGCTCTCGATGACTTTAATATAATACTTATATATCTCAACCATACAATTGTGCTTACTTGAACTCATGGGTAGTATTAGTAGTAGCGGTGGGGGCTGGCCCCTCACCCCCATCACATTTAATTTAATATTACAGTTTTCTGTAACTGTGATCTCATGGACATAGATTGGCGAATCTCTCTTCTGAGGTACCTTTTGAGAAAATTCAGAATGTGCTTTAGTGCTTACCGCCTGTGCCACCCAGGGACTTCAGGAGGCTGGGTAGAAGTGAGTGAAGCTGACTGTGGTATTTTGTCAATTCCTACCTGTTTGATTAGATATTTCTCCCTCTGGACATGCAATACAATCAAAACAGCAACTAGGCTTCCACTTCTGAGGGATTTTCATGAATCCCGCATCACAGCTATTGCTACACACAGAGTGAGGAGTCTGTAAGAAAGAAACCAATGATAATAGTTCAGTAGTCTTGTACGAGTCGATCATATTACCTTAGACTATGATCACAGTGCATAACGGTGTTTGGTTTTCTTTAGTGATCCTGTCTCATCAGGGCCCGAATTAACCTGCATCACAATGACACTACTCCTATAGCACACAGTAGAACAGCCCCATCAGGATCTAAGTCTGTATTCTTTAAGGAAGTGGATCAGCAGGGCTTCCTCTGTTGGAGCCACTGTAGGTTCCCATCACCACCCTTTCAGTTAGCGTACAATATGTTAACTGTTGCACCACCAGCCTTATAGTAAATAAAAAGTTGTTTTTGAGACACCCTGCACAATTTGACCCTGCTGGGTGTGTACAGTGAAGTCAAGCAAAATAACGATTCATCCTTAGGGTGCAAGTTAAACAGAATAAAATTGAGTTTTACAGAAAAAAAGAAAGTCAGGAAATTTGATTTGATTTTTATATGCATGCTATCATAAGTCGGGGTCACCCAAATCTACTCTCTACTAGTTCGGTCCACGTGAGGCCCTGCAACAATGGGCTCAAGAATAGAAACAACTGTGAGGATGGAGCAGGGCTGAGAGAGCAGCGTTTCCTTCTGGTGTACACGTGGTTGCTATGGGTTGGAACTGACTTGATGGTCTCTGTCAACGACCACAAGGCTATGGGACACAAAGTCCTTGTAGTCAACTACTAACTGAAAGGTGGGCTGAATGAAGCCACCGCACATCACCCCAGAAAGCAGCAGATCTCCTTCCTTAAAGGTCAGAGCCAAGGGACCTCTATGGGATTTATAAGAATATACAGGACTCAGAATTAACTGGACAAAATTGGGTTTGAGGTTTGATTGTTTTTTATAGTTGGGGTTGAAGTTCATGGATTTCAAACAATAAACCCAACCAAAATCAACGAGTACTCTCTGAACTTACCGAGCAATGGCTAAATTGAATTTTTAAATTAGTTCATTTTGATGAATCATTAGTATCCACTGTGTTAGTGTGATATATCAAACATTTCTATATTATTTGTATTATATATTCTATACATATATATCCCTCAATTTTATTCTGACAAGTGGTGGCACATGCACTCAATACTAACACAACCACTAAAAAGCAAAGAATAAAATTTGACCGCCTGCCTCTGTTAACATTACAGCCTAGAAAGCCTAGGGAGTAATTCTACACTGTAACACCTGGGGTTCCCTTAATTCAAGGTGGTCCCTCATATCCGTTAGAGAGAGAGAGAGAGAGACCATATCCACCAACAGAGATTTTGTAATGAGTTAAGTGGCCAGAGAATTATTCTCATGAATTGTTTCTGCTTTGGGATATATATGAAGAATTCATCCAAACCTCCGTGAATCCAAAAGCCCATTCTATCAGCTCCTCCTGGATCATCAAACCTTGACCATGAGGACCCTGGGGGATGAACTCTCCCACTTTCATGGGAAGGCGAAGAGCACCAGGGAAGTTCAGAAAGTTCAGAATCTCATATCGTGACACGCAGTTTCTGTTCTCATTCAGGGAGACATGTTCTCCAGCACTGTTTTCCAGCTCAGCGTTTTTTAAGAAGGGGTGGAGCTAAAGGAGAGAAATCATTAAGAAAGGAGATGAACATGGGCGTTAGAGACAAAAAATTCAGGTGTGCACTAAAGTTATGTGTAGTTGCCAAGCAGTGACACAGTTTTCTTCATGTGTGTCTATGTCCCTTTCTGAACAGGTATCATGTCGGGATGCTCACCGATGATTCTGCATGTTCTGGAAGAGCACTCTGTCCGCCCCCAGATAAATAAAATCTTCAACCCATAACAATTAAGCAATTGTGTTTCACAACAAAACTAGGTGTTAAGAGAATGAACGGCTACATCTGGTTTTCTTCTTCATACTTGCCAGACTATTTGGGGATTTTTTGTTCTTTTCCATAGAGAGGCTGAGTAAGTTGGAATCACCAACATTTAGGGTAGTAGCTTAGAGAAAATCAAATAATTTGTGCTACCTATGCCTCAGGAATAGTTCCTATACCTTTCTAGAAAATTTCCCTTCTGGTGACTCTATTAGGAATCAAGATCGTCAACCCCAATCATCGGTTTTCACAGAGCTCCTGAAAAGATTCATCAAATGCAGGAAGAGACAAAGATTCCTTGTCAATAGACAGTTGAATGTAGATGTATGGATTCTTTCTGGAGTTTTAATTCCTTTGGTCTATATGTCTACTATGGTCCCCGTGTGCTGTGATGGTTAAGCATCAGGCTGCTATCCACATGGTCGGCAGTTCAAAACCACCAGCAGCTCTAAGGGAGAAAGACTGGGCTTTCGACTTCCATAAACAGTTACATTTTCATAAACCCACAGAAGGTCAATTGAGTCAGCATTGATTCAGTGGTAGTGAGTTTGAGATATATCTGTGATCATAATTGTTGACTTCCATCCCATTCACCTCTCTGTGGATTATTGGGCTAGCAGGCTCTCTACCAGAAAAGAAACTCACTGCCAGCCAGTGATTCAAGTGCATTCTCAGAAAATCCAGTGTGGTCAAAGTGATTCTGACTCATAGAGATCAGCGAAGAATTTCACCTATGAATTTTTAAGGCTATAACCGGTTACAGGAGTCTAAAGCTCATCTTTCTCCATTAGGGCATCTAGTGGCTTCGATTGCTGATCTTGTAATTAGCTGGGAAACACAGAACCCACTATGCCTCTGGGGTCCTGTTCAGATTCATATCAATGCTATTTAGGGTTTTTGAGGTTGTAAATCTGTATGAGACTATAAAGCTTTGCATTCCTTCTGTGGAGGGACTGGTGGATTTGAACAACACATGCTTTAATTTCCATACTTCTTTAGAATGATTTGAAATTAGGAAATATTACTCATTCCTTAATCTTGAGGACTAAATTAGATTACAAAAATAAAACTCACTGCCATCGTGTCAATGCTAAATCATAACTACTGTACTGTTTACAGGAGGAGAAAGCTCAGCCTTTATCCTGCTGGTGGTTTCAAACTGCTGACCATTTGATTCACAGCCCAATGGTAACCACTATGCCACCAAGGTCGAATCATAACATTTTAACTCTGCAAATTAAATCGCACCTACTAACAAGCCCTTTGTATGAATCACTTGCAAAGGACGTTTTACCTGCCAAGGGAGAAGCACATGGTGTTCTGCTTCCATCTGGTCCCTAGTTTCCTCGCCCATTAAAATCATGTCATGCAGGGCATGGGCCACCAGGTGGACAGCATTATAGAGATCGTTGGTGGATTTCATTAGGGTCGTGTCTAATTTTCCCTCAGTCAATGAGTCCAAGGAGGCATTGGGTAGGCACACAGAAATTTCCCCACAGACAGTTCCTGCAAGTGAGCAATCAAAAAGGTAGAGCCAGTACTGGGTAAGGAAAAAGTCTTCTGGGTATTTGGAAGGGGTCACTGTCCTGAGAAAGTGTTTGAAACCAGGTATCTCAGAGTCCTGGTGTGAAAAGAAGAGAGTCCCATGGAAAATATCCCATAAATAAGCAGCTGGTAAGAAAGAAAAATCCCACTGGGATGTAATGATCCATATCTTGTGAGTTATTAAATTATAGTCATCGATGAATCTCATAGTTACTAATATACTGATCTCACCATAAATGATGAATGCATTTGCAGATGATTTCATGACTCTGGGAAGGTAGGTCACATCTCTTGGGGTGTTGATTATGTTGGTCACGGGAACTTTTTCTATGAGTGCCACACACACACCTTTCATGGTCATCTCTTTCCTAAGGTCCCAAATGAACTGTTCGCCTTTTGTGTCATCTGGCACTAGGATGCCAACCCAGGTCCATCCAAAATGAATCAATAAGGAGGCCAGGCCCGCAGCCAGACAACTGTGATTGAGGGAAATTTGATAGAGAGAGGAAACCTGGTCCTTCGTTGTCAACAAAGGATCAAAAGTTCCGTAGGAGATCTGAACCAAAAGAGAGAAATATTCCGTGTGAGTTCTCAGAAGCAAAGTTAAAACCAGAACTGTAGTTCAACTCGATGCTGACTTGTAGTGATTTCATGTGTGCAAACCAGGGCTGCGCTCCACTGACTTTTCATCACTGTGACCATAGGGAGCAGAGGGTCAGGGACGCCATAGGTTGTGTGTGGGTGGGGGAGTGAAGTCAGACTCAGTAACAGAGAGCAGGACTGCCCCACAGGGTTTTCTAGGCTGGATCTTTCTGGGAACAGATGACAACGTCTTTCCCCCAGGGAGCAGCTAGTGAGGTGAAATTGCTGACCTCTCAGTTAGCAGCTTAGCCCTTAGCAGCTGGACGAACAGGGCTCCTGTAGCCACCCTTACACTGCTGAAGAGAACCCTGTGGGTATGAAGCAATATTCAGAATTAGATTTACTGCGTTCAAATGGTGACTCTATTGTGTGTAGCTGAATGACCTCAGACAAGTTAGATAACTACTGCGCATCATCGTTTGCGCATCTCTAATAGCTGTCCTAGTCATCGTAACCTGTCATTTCCTTACGATTGGGACTGAGTGTGTGAGCATATGGAAAGCATTTTAAAGTGCACTGAGGAGAACATTGTATCCTTCCCTAAGATGTGTGGGTGTGCTAACACTTACACCTCTGGACCCAGTCCGTTTTAGGAATCTGGTTGTCTGTTATGTTCATGAGCCTAAATCTGCAGGCCTTGTCCTAAGCCTGTCACTGCTCAGTGTTGTAAAGACCAGCACAGACACAGGTGCACAAACACAAATGTGGGCAAATGATTCCATGTGAGAATAGCCAAGGAATCAAGGAACAAAAACTGAAGCGAAACAAGTATTACCCCCAGAGTTGACAGACCGACAACCTCCCTCTAGAGTTAGTGCCCTGAATTCAGAGTCTAACTTCTAGTGTGAGAAATAAACATCTATTTTTCAAAACCCTTGCTTTGCCGTATTTGTTACCACTGCACTAAGTAACTAAGGCAATGCCTATACACTACAGCACACGGTTAGAAATCACAATTTTCAGTGGAAGATGAAATAAGAAACTTAATGAAGGGATCATGGAATTAATTCTTCCATTAGCGTGTTTATGCTTCGGCCTATTCCAGACAGCAAGTTTGCATGTCTGAGAGGATCTGAGTTACATAATTTCTAGAAGGCACTTTGGGTTGGCCTAGAAGCAACAGCAGTCTTTGGCAGATTTGTTCCTGTCCCAGTTTTTGACCGTTAAGAAGCAATTGGCAGTACTATGTCCCTCTTCTCTTCCACTTAAGTGGCAGGTGAAGCAAACTGAGGAAGGAAAGGTCCACTCCCCCAGTGCCTGTACCTGTGGTGTCCCGTAGAGTTCCAGCAGTGCCCCGGCTTGCTCCAAGAACTCAGAGGGTATTCCTGCAATGACTGCCATGTTCTTTGTGTGTGTGTGGCAGGTGTAATTAGGGATGGGGGGCTCCCCTTCGGACAGCCATCCGAGGACACTCTCCAGAGTTCTGAAAACACTAGGAATGACATTGTAGCGCCGGAAACCCAGGGATACGTTGGGGAGTATGAGGGGACTCCTGTTAATCTCCTCAATTGCAAAAAGAAATATCAGAACATAAGCATAATTTTGGAAGTTCAACCTGGAAAAGATCAAAAAAGTAAATGCACTTTAGAAGTAAAAAGGATACACTTCAACTCCTATCCAGGCCTCTATTTATTATGCTGCGCAGATATTCTGTGTTTTTTCAGAATTGAAGCTTTGTGGCAAGTCTGCATTGGCCAGGCCCAACAACAAGATTTTCCAAAAGTGTGTGCTTCCTGCGTGTCTCTGTGCTACGTTGTGTTAAGTCTCACTGCAGTCTAACCTTTTGCTGTTGACATCGCATTCTTAGTAGGCTACAGTCTAGCGTCTACACAAATTGGTTCTATACTGGGACGTACAAGGAAAAATCAATCTTGTGACTCACTGTATTGAGGTGTTTTGATTAAGAATCTGAAATATTTACCAGGCATGATTGTCCCAAACCAAGAGGAGCTATTGAAAGGTTTTCACTGAGATGTTCGTGCACAGAAAATGTTGTGTTTATAGCTTTGGGAATTCAGATTATGTGCATGCTGTTCCTAAAGCATCAGCAGGCTCAGACCTAACATCCCAGACTGGGAAAAGAGAGAAAGATTTCCTAAAGTGAGTTAATATTTAAAACGCATGAGTTAATTGGGGAGAAGGGATTACAAAGGCAGTCTTTCACTTGTACTTGTGTTTACATGTCAAACGCTGATATTTGGAGTTGACCCAGCCAACAGTGCTTTAGGAACATGGGAAGTAAAGAACTCGATAAAGTGAATGTTTGTGATCCACACAACGCACCCAGGCAGGACAGGGAGGCAAACAGAGAAAGCTTGGAGGAAGAACAGCTTCGGGACACACAGGAATCATCAGAATTTCTTTGGCGACGATGTCCACAGTCAGACAGCATGTGAACGAGCTCTGCGTGAACAATGCTTTGACTCTGATGATATCTTTCCCCTTGTGCAAACACCCTGTTTGTCCTCCAGATTGTTCCCCCATTCTTGACTGAAACTCGGTGCCCCCTAAGCTTCTCCACCAACCTTCCGAGTTGCCATTATGAATCTGATTTCATGTTCATAGTTCTTTACAAGAGCACATTGCTCAAGAGAGACTCTCTTTAACTATAAACATTAACCATTTCTTTTTGTTTGATTGCATTTAATGATGATTCAGAGGAAAGTTTGGGTTTAAGATTTAAAGGTAAAGATTATCTCGAGACAATAGGTTGAGGAGTTCACCCTATGGCTCCAGAGAGTATCCTCAGAATTTTTGAAAAATACACTTGTGATACAGTGTGCTTCATAATCTTATGGGACAGATCACCAGAAGCTGAGAAATTTCACCGGAAGACAGACCGTAGTCTTGGTAGTGGTAATTACACAATGAACAAGAAAGCATTTCACCATAGGACGGATTCTGCTTCTACATTTAGCCGACATCTGTTTTCTTCCAATCTGACAGAATCCTCCTACAGATTCAAAGTCTTGTCAAGTTTACAAACCCTGACAGGGACACATTGCCCAGTAAGCAGAAAACACAGGCTTCCTTGTTTCCTTCCTCATCTATAGTGCACATTTACTCATGCTGTTTCATATGCGGGCAAATCTGCATGAAATTGCTCACTGCAGACTAGTAAGTAAGCATAAGGGAGCTAGGCTTGCCGTGCTTGTCAGGGAATCTGTCCCTGGCCAGTGGAGAAAAGCAGTCTGAAATACATGGAGAATCCTGCCAGCCAGTGCTCTGCGGTCCTTGTCCCGTGACTCTCTCTGGCAGCTCTACGAAGATAAGAAGCCCTTGCTGCTGACACAGGCGCAGTGAGCTCCCTAGAGGGCCCCTTGGTGACTTCCCCCCAATTTGAAATCTGTATTAAAATGACTTTCCTTTAGCACTAAACTCCAGCCTAGATTCTCATCTGTTCAAATCCAGAGAGTCTAACGCCTCCCCCATGCCAAGTCAGGAATAGGACAGGGTCTATGGGTCCCGGGTGTGGGAGGTGAAGTCCCGGAGTGACACAGATGGTTAGTGTTTGGTGGCTAAGCAGAGTGTGAGGCTCAAATCGCCCAAGCAGTGCCATGGCAGGAAGGCTCGGTGATGTGCTTCTGTGGAAAATGCAACCAAGGGAACCCCGAGGAGTCGCTTCTACTCTGTAACACACGGGCTTCTGGAACTCAGAACTGTTTCAACAGCGACAAGTTTGGGTTTGTACAGGGGATCATGTTTTCTACTCTGAAGGAAAATACACCAAATGGAAAAGGGGAAAACGATTCCAAACGGTGACCAGAGTAAAAAGAGAACATCAGCTTTGGTGAAGGGGGGCATCAATGAAAATGAGGCCAATCTGCCAGGAGATAGGTAGACACAGGGGCTGCAACAAAATGTAGACACCTATCCAGGACCAAGACTGTGGTACAGCCCCCGCCCCCCAGCCAGAATTTCATTCTGCTGCACATAAGGCCACCCCAAGCCAGAGCAGACTCAACGTCATCCAAGCAAGAAAAGGGAAAACTTGTGAATCAAAACTCGGGGACAATCTCAATGTAGCTTTCATGTTCCCCATTCACACACAGACACACACAGACTTACAGGTTATATGTCACATTCTGTCTTGGACTGGTCACAAAAAATTTCCCCTGTGCTTCTGAGTTGTGTTTCAGCGTGTAGAGAGGGAAAAAGCCCCCCAGCACCAGATCCCCATCCCTGTAGACACTGGGCTGCATGTAGTCGAGGCAGTCCTTCAAGCTCATGGTGGGTTCCTGAGGAGGAAGCAGGCAGAGCAGAAGCAGAAAGAGCAGAGGGAGCATCCCAGCCACAACTCACCAGCCTGAGGCAGAGCCCTGAGTCCTTGGTGAACGTGGAGAAGATCTGGAGACTGGACAAGTCCGCCTTCTGCAGGGAAAAGCTGTAGCAGTGCAGGACACTGATGAGATTGCCCTCTCCCTCAGCCAAGGACACAAGACTGGCAGTTGCTCAGCAGGAGGGCAGTGCAGGAAGCCGAGAGCTCCAGATATATATCCTTCTGCCCTCCGTGCCACTGTGACCCCAGGTGCTGTGTCCTGCTCTTTCTCTCACTCCCTCCGTCCAGTCCCAAATGGCCACTTCTGAGGAAAGAACACCTGGGCCCCATCTTGCCCTGGGGCTCCCCATCTGAGACCTGTCCACTGTGTAAAAACACGGTTGAAAAACAAGCTCGCAAGAGTTCAGGGTAATTAGACAAGCATGTGGCCTTGAGCGCGGTGCTCTTTGAAGAATCTCCATGGACTCCAACTCAGAAGAGCAGCTCTGGGGACTTTTTGACAAGAAACTTGAAGGACAGTGAGTTCATGTGAATGGGGGAGGACCGTATGGGGAAATGGTTTAGGACGGTCTCTTCACTCCAGGTGTTGCATCCATCAGGCCCACTGACTTGCATGCAGAGAAGCTGCTGAACTCACGTGCGTTCGGTTCTGGGTGTTCTCAGGAACCACAAATAAAGCTATGTTACAAAGAAAGACATATGTGAGACCCTTATTCCACTCATGGCTCCAGGAATCGAACCAGGCACGATGGAGAGCAAGGTTCTCAGAAGCCCCTCATGCAGGTTGTGGCTTCATCCACACTGGTTTCAATGGTGTTTCTTGCAAGGAGCTGAGAGTTGCGGCATCAGGAGAGTCCCCGTGGCACTCAGTCACTTGGCCCCTTCAGGATTCCGCCTATTGCTCAAGGGCCAGGGTCCTGCAGAAGCCAAGGAAGCAGCTGGCAATGCCTGGAGTGGCACACAAGAGCACTAGTGACCCTTTTCCAACCCTGTCCTCAGGTCTACTGTTCATTGTCCGAAGGACTGACTTTGTGATCAACACGGGAAATGAACATTCAGTATTTTGCTTCCTATCAATTTGGCAAGTGACAAAATAGAATCATCTATATCCAAATGGATTTACCTCTATTGCATCTTCCTTGGAGTCTCCAGGAGGTACAAATGGTTACGTGCTCAGCCACAAATCAGAAGGAAGGCAGTTCAAATACACTGAGGTGCCTCCAGAGAAATGCCTGGGAAACTGTAAAACATCTCTGCCACTGAAAAGCACATAGGGCACAAGCATTCAGTACAGATGGTCACAGATGACTTTGACCAAGGAGAAAACAAAGCTGTCTTCAGTAGCCAAAATTCAGAGAGTAAACATCAGAAGCAATCATTCTCCATCTGACATGGAAAGCTAAATGGATTCTGATCATTAGACTGTAACCAGCCATAGCTCCATTGAGGCAACATGATGAGGGGTCAAGGCACACTTCATCCACCTGCACTCTCCCAGTTGCTCTCAGGGTCCAGCTATACCTCTGAATTCTAGTCTCCCACAGATCCTTGCCCCAGAAGTTCAGGTCTCATAGGACAAGGACTAAGTCCACAATCCACACAAACCCTGTTTCCAGTAGGGTGCCCTGTGTTGGTTGCCATTGACTCAGAGCCCTCCGTGGTCAGCGTTGGGAGTTGGAATTGTGGATTACTTCACACTGGGGCAGCAGAGGCACCCTAGTCCTGAAGGAAGGGGTCCTGGTGCCTTGGCGGTTAATAACACACTGCTGACCCAAAGCTTGGTGATTGAAGACCACCCACTGCTCTCCAGGGAAAGATGTGGCTCCTACTTTTATGAAGATCAAAACCTTGGAAGCCCTATGTATCAGGTCTACCATGTCCTCTGGGTTCGCTGTGAAGGACAGATTTTAATTTAAGAGGCAAGGATCTTCACTTGTGAGAAATGACCGGCCAGGGCAGAGGGGAGGGTGAGCCCTGGTGCATGTGTGCAATGCTGGGGCCCATGGCATTGGGGAGTATTCAAACAAAGAATCATCTAAGTGAGGCATCAACTAAGTCCATATGGTGTGTCCATATGGTGTGATCCAAAGATGACAGGAACAAAATCCAAATATGATGGAGGGAAAAGTATCAGAGCTGAAACTGTGATCACCCAATTTGTAGAAGGCTGTGGAGGACACTGGGAGCCCCAAATCCGTCTGCAGACTCTAAGCAGATGAAGCCTCCGGCAAGCCACAGGCCAGGGGCTCGCGCTACTGTCAGCTTGACTGTCAGACAGAGATGGTTGTACCCTTGATTTTGGTGGATCAAACCAGTGTATAACACGATACTTGGTCAGTTGATCTGCCTTTGACCCAACCTGAATTTGCTCTAAGCTCAAATATCTCTAACTTGTTCCATGATAGAAATGTCTTCTCTGGCTCTTTAAATATTTTTGGTGGTGTCTTCTTTCTTCCTCTTTATTTCATTTTTATCTGTGATGCAAACTGTTGTGCTTTCACAGAGACAAGAACTGATGCAATGGTTGATCATGGGGGGCTGTGGTGTGGGGAGGATGAGCAGATATGAGGAGCAAATACTGAGCACAGGGTGTGTGTGGGATCATTAGACCTGACTGATGATACATATACAACTCTTCTTAAAAGCGATGTAACTATGGACAAGTATGATACGCAAAATTATATCAAGAAAATACTTTGGGAAAATAAGAAATCAAAATTATCCGGTGTTCCTGTGGGGGAAGGAGAGTTTTTGCTATGGGGGCATCAGGTTTATGTGAATGGTCAGGGGGTAATTTGAAAAGGGATAATAATGTTCATACAACACAAAGAACATAATCAATGGCAGTGAATTATTCATAAAGTTGTTGAATTAGAGAATGATGTCTCGTGTATATTTTTGCCACCATTATAAATTGTGATTACATGAATAACAAAGAATATAAGGAAGAAGAAAATGTTTTAAAATTGATTTTAAATGGTAATGATTTTACAACCCTTCTAGATATGATTGGATTAATGAATTGTATTTAAAGAAATCATTTTATGGGGGCTCTCACATCTCTTATCTCAAACCATATATACATTCATGTGTCAAGCACATTTTTACATATAGTGCTATCATCATTTTCAAAACATTTGCTTTCTACTTGAGCCTTTGGTATTAGCTCATTACCCCCTCCTCCTCTTCCCTCCCTCATGAACCCATGATAATTTATATTTTTTTTTCATTAAACTGTAATTATTTAAAGAAGGAGAAAACTTTATTTGCTCCCTTGTAGCAGCTGGTAGATTTCAGTCAACAACATCGCCATCAGCAGTTCCAATGCTACCCCACAATTCCACAGGGCTGGGAATTGGGAGGCTCAATCCCATAGAGCCTCCAAAAGAAAGCAGACGGCACCTTGATTTCAGCCCATGAGACCTATGTTGTACATAGAAACCCCATACCAATGAAGTCATCCTATGTGGTCTTGTGCTCCTGAGCCACAGGGGACTCCAACATGCCTCACCAGCTCTCCCTCTGTCGTCACTGCATTAAAAGGTACCTTTGTTACAACTGAGAGACGCCAGACTTCATGGGCTGCCATTAGTGTTTCCAGTGGATGTCCCTTTTCTGTCCCAGGAGACATTGAGTGAATCCTCGTAATTAGCAGAAAGACTCACCCAGATGACAGCACAGATGTGCCAGTTCCAGTGACCACACAGCACTTCCCCTGGAGCCAGAGAAAATCAGTGCCTCTCCTTCGAAGTGAATCCTGAGTCTAATTAGGACAGACCCCACCCCTCCCCTTGATGCTGACCATGGGCCACCTATGGGACCCACTGGGGGAAATGAGTCCAACAGCAAGCATCTTTCATTTTTTATTGTGGCCAGGCAATTCGTAGCATTGTTACACTGGGTTCCTCAGAGGATCTTCTGTGGGATCAGCTCCAGGTACACACACAGGTCATGAGCTCCAGCTTGATTCCCTCCTGGCCTCTTATGTTTGCTCTCCATACTACACTCCTGCACTAACCCCTTGCTCTGCATGAGAGGAACCAAGCAGAGTTGGCAGATTGAGAAGCAGCCCTCTTGGTCTGTTCTTGGAGCAATTCCTATTGTGAGGAAAGGTAAATGCCTGGTCTATGTCAGCAGGGGTGGTGGAGGAGACAAAGAAAGAGGGGTCAAGAGCATTTGATGCAGAGCATCCCGCTGGTACTCCAGGACCTGTGACCACATTTCAGTCTGGAGAGGTGAAGCAGAGTAGCTAAAGAAACTCCATTATTTTAGCTTCTGATTGACTTGCCCACTTCCCTCTCCCATCTCGGAAAGCTAACTGCAGTTGACCTGCTCCCTCCTCTTCCCCTTATAGGAAAGCCTCTGCTGGTGATTAATTTTAGAACGCACTCTCATGTTCCCAGGCTCATGCCATTATAAATAGTTCCTATTATTCTTCAATATATCATTTATCTTGAACGTTTTTCAATATTTTTCCTTTTAATGTAATCTGAATGGTGTGATTGATTTTATTATGCTAACCAGGATGTTATCATCAATTTGGTATGGTTTCTATTTTTGACAGTGGGTGTACCTTGCAATGCTCACTTGCTCTTTTTGAAGTTATAGTTAACCCATTAATTGTGCTTTCTGCTTCTGTTCACGCTTGCTTGAGTCCTAGACAGGTGATGAATGAGTTTTTTGCCTTTAAAGATGGAATAAGACGTCCACTCCCGGCTGCCATGAGGGGTAACGTCTTTAGTTTCTGGAAAGCTCAGCTAGCTGAATAATGGCTTTTCTAAAATTCAAGACATGACAGTGTCTGTCATTTATGTGAACCCACAGCAGAGGGAGTCAGCCTCCAGCTGTTTTAAATCTCCCTTAGTAAGGAGCTGAGGAGCGCTGGTCACGTAAGGGGTATAAGCTAGGCTGAGAACCCCAAGGTCAGCAGTTCAAAACCACCAGTCACTC